GGGCCGAGGCCCGAGGCCCGGGGTGATGGGCGCTGCCGCCTCCCGCCCGCAGACCGGCATCGTGAGCATGGTGTACACGCAGTCCGAGATCCTGCAGAAGGAGGTGTACCTCTTCGAGCGCCTCGACTCCGCCAACAGGGAGGCGATGAAGCACCTGAAGGCCATCTGCTTCCTGCGGCCCACCAAGGTAGAGCAATCCCGCCAGCGCTGCCCCTCGCCTCAGACCCCCGGCCTCGGGCATCACCCTGCCCTGCCCTTCCCGCCTGCCGTTAGCCTGAGGTGGTGGGACGGCCGTGCGTGAGCCGTGGGTCACGAGGAGGGACCGTGATGGGGACGGCGAGGGGGCGCGGGTCACTCCAAACCCTTCTTGATTCAACATTTTTACAATCTGCTCTCCCCGGTGCTGTTTTCGTCCAGGAGAACGTGGAGTGCCTCATTCAGGAGCTGCGGCGGCCGAAGTACAGCATCTATTTTATTTGTAAGTAGGTCCCGTCCTGTCCAGTAAGTCAGACTTGCCCGTCAGAGAGCGATCGGATGTTCAGTAGAGAACACAGATGTGAGACGCTGTGACCGCTCCCACTGACAGGCCTTTACTAAAGCGCTAAGAATGTGTGAATTCTAGTTTTTATGCTATTTTAGCAAAGGGTACATACATACCAGATAAAATAATTAAACCGAAGCAACTCGCGAGAGATCTTTGCAAAGCAACACCGTAAACCTGCATTCCTCCGCTGTGGCTCATCCCTGAAAATTTCTGGGATGTTGCTTCATAAACATGAAAGGCGGCTAATGCGAGGGGTAAAGTGCCTTTATTATACGGAAACCTGAGATGCGCTGGGTGAGAGACTGGCCCAAATCTTGAAGGTAAATAATTCAGAGACAGGATTAGGGTAGACTTCACATCCCAGCGTTGGACTAAACCTGCTACGTGGCATCTTCTCATGCCTGGCACATCGGGCGGGTGTTCCTCACGTGTCCTGCTCATGCTGCGGAATGTTCTGTGGTTTGGGAAATGAAGCAGAACAACTACGGCTGGCTTTGTGTTGAAGTCTAGCCCTCCAGCACAGGTATCACTTGGTGAGATTCTAGGAAATGAGCTGAAGAGGCCTCTAGATGTCATTGCCGCTCTGCAGGAATGCAGCGCCGAGGAGCCAGGCTCCGGGCGGCGAGAGAGGGGGCTCCGGTTTGGAAAGGGTGGTGGTGACCTGCTGGCACAGCAATGCCGAGGAGCTCAGCAGAGATGCGGCTGTCACTGTGTTCAGCCATTTAGTATTACTCAGTTTTTACGCACAGAAATCTACTGACCACAACCGGGCTGTGCGTGGTGTGGCTTAATCGGGCAGATGTCAGGCCAGGGAGAGGACAGGAGAGAGCCGCTGCTGCCTCTCCAGCACTGCCGCGTCCCACGGGGCGTTTAATCCCATCGTTGACCGTGACGTGCTGGTCCAGCGCTGCAGTCACGTACTGGATATTGGCACCAGAGGCAGGAAGTCGAACAGGGGATTGGCTCAGAGTATCCGTGTGAGGTAACTTCTGGATTATAATGTCTGCATAACAATCGCAGGTGTAAGGTCAAGGGATCTCTGCTGCAATCTGCTCCTGCTCCAGGGGAAAATCTGGTCCTACTGTTCTGTGGTGTTCTTGTGTGTCACGTGTCACTCGCAGAGCCCGACTGTTCTTTCGCTGTTGTTTTCTTTCAGATTTCAGTAACGTGATCAGTAAGAGCGATGTCAAGTCATTGGCTGAGGCTGATGAACAGGAAGTTGTGGCTGAAGTTCAGGTGAATTTTGAGTATTTTAAATAGATCTCCTAATCCAAAAGCATCAGCAAAGTGAACGTACAAGCTAACAAACTCAGGCGTGGCAGTGGGAGGACTCAGTAGTTCTCGAACAGTATGCAGCAGCACCGTGCAGCAGTCTCGGATGGAAGAAAAGATGAACGTAGACGTGGGATTAAAAAGTAAAAGAAAGAAAAACTGCTGTGGCCCCCGTTTCTGCCTGCCCTCCTGTTGTCAGGGCCGCTGCTGGTTCTGCTGTCATCTGTGTTTCACAAGGCTGCTACATGTTTGTGGTGTTGACGAAGAGCTACATACTCGAAAAATACACACGACAAACTGGCAGTGGAGTTGTCAGCAGAAGTGGAGGGATTTGAGAGGTTAGGCACGGAGGAAGGAGAAACGATCAGAGTCAAGGAGTCTGTGCGCTGCTTAGGATTTTAGTGTTAATGTGGCTGATGCTGGCACACGTACTCTTGTAGGCTGAATAAGACACGTAACTGTATTTGCTTTCCCTTGTTGGCAGGAGTTCTATGGCGATTACATTGCAGTGAATCCACACGTTTTTTCTCTCAACCTCTTGGGCTGCTGCCAGGTATGAAAAAAGCTAATGCTCCTCCAGGGCCTTGTTTTACGGTTAATAGAGAGACTAGTAGCCGCAACAAGCTGGGTGCGGCGGCGGGCTGCCCAGCAGGCAGACTGCTGTTGAGGGTCCGTAAGGGGGCAGCTGATCCTTACGAGGAACTGGCAAGGAGAGGAACGCTGGGGAATCCGGATTGTGGCCTCTGGTCTACCTGCTCCTTCAGTCAAACTGTAGTTTAAGACTTTAAGACTTAAGACTTTATGTGAGAAAGAGTTTGGGGACGGTGCAGACTAGATGCAGCCTTTCCTTCTAGGGTCGCAACTGGGATCCGGCTCAGCTGTCCAGGACAACTCAAGGGCTGACTGCTCTGCTTTTGTCTCTGAAGAAATGCCCCATGATTCGGTACCAGCTCTCTTCTGAGTCAGCAAAGAGGCTTGCTGAATGCGTGAAGGTATGGTGAGAACCTACAGCGATGTGAAATAAGTTTGGCAACGTACTTAAATTTTGTTTAATTTTTTTACATGTTGGTGCATTTGAGAGGAATACCCTTTTTCAGTCAATTCTTGTAAATTGTGTCATTTCCTTTGTTGCACGGCTTCGGGCAGGTCACACGCCTCGTCTCTGCCTGCTCCCAACCAAGGAGCAGGTGAAGACCCCTATCTCCTGTGAGTGTCATAAATTGCAGCAGGTTACCTGGTGCCTTTTGAGAGCGGGTATTATTTCTTCATTAGCAGTGTAGACTAAGATAGCAGCACAACCCGTTTTTCACCAGCTCTTCACTTTTTGTTCACCTGTATCCAGACTAAGAGGAAACATTTTCTGGGTATACATAAGATCAAATGGCTTTTTTTTTTTTTCCCTTTTCTCGACAGCAAGTAATCACTAAAGAGTATGAGCTGTTTGACTTTCGGCGCACTGAGGTTCCTCCTTTACTTCTCATTCTGGACCGGTCCGACGACGCCATCACCCCACTTCTGAACCAGGTGAATCATCTCGCAGTTGTGCAAGGGCTGAGATAGGAACGCGAGTTCTGGAAGTGCAGAGAGCCCTGTGGCGGTAGTAGCGAGTTGGGAGTTCACACCCTGGCAGGGCACGGTTTATATCTGAAAGGTAAAAAGTATTGCCTCCCACCCCCATTCTTTTTGAAATCCCTCTTTTATCTCGTGGCCTGATTTTTCAGAGTGTTGAGCACGGATCGTGTGCGCTGGCTTCAGTGGCAGATGTAGCCAGCACCCTGGAAAACCAGGCCGCTTGCACTTCCATAAGACAGACTTTATGTTTGGAGTCCTCGTGTCTCGGCAGTGTCCTTTCCAAGGGTTTATTTGTATAGGCCGTTTGGCAGCACACGTACACAGTTATTGAGTGACCTTGCGCTGCTGTATTTCTCCCTCCGTGTTATTGACGGGTGGTAGTATTTACTACGTAGCTGTTGGGATTTTCTTTTTCTTTGCTGTGCTGCAGATTCTGGCATCAAACGGCCTGTTTGTCTCCTTTCATTTCTGGGGGGTACGCTTAGACACAGGTCAGTCTGGCGATCAGGCGACGGCTGGAGCTGCAGCCGGGCTACCTCAACAGCAGCCAGCGGTTCTGCAACGCCAGTGGTGTAGGAGCTAGTGGTGATACTTGTATTATTGGAGTGATCCGACAGTCAGAAACCCAGGTCACGTGTGGTTTGTAGAGTTAAGGACGGCGCTCGGCACAGGGCACCAAAAGCATTATCTGCTATGCGGAGGTCTTCTATCCAGAAGAGAGATTCAGATGAATGTAAATGGAGTGTCAGGCATGTCGGTGCTCCGATCAGCTTTCTCTCTAGATTAGTATTAGTCTTCCCAGGATAAATATAGTAACTCACCGATGTGCAGAAACACACACTCCTACTGCTGCCTAAGAAGCAAAGGAGCATGGAGGAAATTGCACAGTTTGCAACTGTGGAACCTCTGCAGCCAAAAATACATGTCCCTTCACAGCAGAGGAGGGGGAGATGACGGTGGCGAACAGAACCGTTCGAACAGGAATATTAATCCCCATTGCTCCTCTTTTCGAGAGTCGTGTCTTTTAAACGTACTTACGGTAAGCACCCTGGAACGGGGTGGTTTTCCTTTGCGTTTGCACCAGCGTCTCTCACCACGGGATGCCCGTCTGATTATAACGGAAGTAATATTTATTCCTTCTTCTAACATTCTGGCAAAAGTTTGAGAAATGCACACTTTGAATCCGCTGTGTGTTGCTAGAGGAATATAAACTGGCTTTGTTTGAGTTCAGCCTGAAATCCATGAATTTTCCAATGCTGTTTATTATCTTACTAAGGTCATCATTTGCCTTTCTCTTTCACCATCCTTGTTAGTGGACGTACCAGGCTATGGTTCACGAATTGCTGGGGATTAACAACAACCGCATCGACCTCTCTCGGGTACCGGGGATAAGCAAGGATCTCCGAGAGGTGGTCCTGTCTGCCGAGAACGACGAGTTCTACGCCAACGTAGGTATCTCGGTGGGGATCTTCATGAGTAGGTGAATTTGGGGATGCGGTTCCATTCTTTGTTTTGCCGTGTGAAAGGAAATTTCCAATGACTTTGAGCGTCGGGGTGGTGATGTACTGTATAGCTTATGCAAGTGGTGAAAATCAATGTGTTATGCAAGCAGCATCTGACATGAAATAACGTGTCCATTTTATAGTTTTATTTCAAACCCGGACCAATGGCAGAGCTGCTTGCCCAAGCTTGGGCCTCAGGGAGACGATGTGCAATGGCACTTCAGTGTTTCGGGCACAGAGTGCCACTTTGTTCCAGTGGCATCAAGACTCGTGTTAGAATGGCTTTCTCTCAGATCCCTGTCTTGTTCCGTGCAGAACATGTACCTGAACTTTGCGGAGATTGGCAGTAACATCAAGAACCTTATGGAGGATTTCCAGAGGAGGAAACCTAAGGAGCAGCAGAAGCTGGAATCCATAGCAGATATGAAGGTACAAACAATCTACACGTAACTGACTGGACTTTTTAAATCCCGTCCATTGCGGGATAGTGCAGATCACTGCTGTCTCTACACCGACAGTCCACACTATCAGCACCAACGGTTCAGATCTCTGTGGCGTGCTAGTTTTGTGGAGCAGAAACCTCCTTTTTGCACTGTGTTCATTACAATGGTTCTTCACTGAGGGCTAGACACTTCGATAGGCCGTTCTGCACCACTGCAGTGTGGTCTACAGGCTTGCTTATTCTGACTGCTCGCTAAGCTGCTGCTTAGAGCTTGCTGGAATCCCAAAGCCCTACAATTGAATTGGTAAGCTCTGGTTTAAGTACTTGGCTTACTCCAATAGGGCTGTGTGGACTTCGTATCTGAGCTGGGTCACTTGGCAACAGCTCAGAGCACAGGCTATTAATTCAGTCACTGCTCAAGATTTAAAGAATCCTGGCGACATCTTTGGAGATACTGTCCGCATCCTTTTATTTTAAGAGTAAATAAGAAGTACATCCCTTCCAAAATTCTCCTTGTAATTGGAGAAATCCTGTGGGCTCCTGGGATTGAGGTGCCCGGTCATCCACACACCCACGCTGGCCTTGCTTATATTGATGCAAATTAGTTTATACAATTTATCACTGGTTTGCACACATCCACTGTCTCTTGCTGTCTCTTGCTTTTCTTTTGAAGAACCGGTTGCTTTGGTTTCCCCGTTGCAGGCATTTGTGGAGAATTACCCACAGTTCAAGAAGATGTCGGGCACGGTATCGAAGCATGTGACAGTAGTGGGAGAGCTCTCTCGACTGGTTGGTGAGCGGAACCTGCTGGAGGTGTCTGAAGTGGAGCAGGAACTGGCCTGCCAGAATGACCACTCCAGCGCTCTCCAGGTACCTCGGGCTCAAAACCTAACCTTGATCCTTTGTCTGAATCTAGATGGTTTGATCCTGTAACTTCCCCATTGATGGAAGTTTGACACTGAAAGTCAGCGGGAGTTCTGCGTGCAGATATCCTGCAGGGTTGGGACATTAGATGTTCGAATTACTCTTCTCCTCCCCATTCAGTTCAGATGGGGATGAATCATAGTTAATAACTGGCTTGAGAAGCATCTTTGCAAATTCTGTCTTTGCATTTCACAATACAACATTCCTTCATTACATCCAGTCAGTTGGCTTCTGGCAAGCTGCCTGTGCAGGCACCAGCAAAAAAAAAACCTTGGACCCCTGTGCAGAAGCTGCTTGTATTTGTTGGGGAGGAGAAGAAATGGAATCCATGAAATTGTGTAAACCAGACTATTCACTGAGGTGCTGGCTTTTACCTTTCTTTTTTAAATAAAAAAACAGTGGAAAGCCTCTTAGATAAAAGATTTCTTTGGCAAAGAGGACTGAAAAAGCCTAACAGAGACTTCTGTTATAGCCGAGTATAGACTGAAGTTTTGACCCCATGCTGGCTTGTTGGATTCCATGACCTGACCTGGTATCTGACAGTACGTCAATAGTGATGAATTGTGGCCGCTGACTATTCAGAGAAAAGAGCAGTATTGTGGAGTGTGACTGTATTCTAGCAGAGTTCAACCAGCGACTCAATATTAAAAAACGATTCCTTAATTTTTTATAGCTAAGGTAGGAGTTACACCATATAATGGACTCCTTTACACAATACTGGAGAAGCAGTTTGACTAGAAAATAAAGATAAGCATCTTCAACAGATTTGAAATACACGTCTTCTTTGCCTCTGTTATTCTGTGCTCCAAGTGGGTGGCTAGGGGATAATATTAGACTCTTCAAGTACTGTAATCTGTTACCAGATCCTGAGCTGATGTGAATCGGTACAGGCCTGCTGAAGTCATCGCAGCTATATAGATTGGCGAGCATATAGATATGATTCGCTAGCTTATATTTGGTAGAATTTAGATGACTAAGTATTGAAGGGGGAACGTAGTCATAAAATGCATTTGCTGAAAACAGCCTCTGAGGTTCTCTTGCTGTATCACTGTTTCTGGATCAAGCTTTTGCAGTTTAAAAGTCAAAGATTTGAGTTCTAATCCGTCAGCCCATCGTGTCTGTGCTGTGATCTGTTATTTCTGATACCAACACAGCACAGAGCGTTAGTGTTGAAACTTGGGTGCTTGGCATTGGAGACCATTTTGGAAAATGTTGGTCTACTTTTCTGTCTTTTATTAAGTTATCTCAGATTCGTTGAAGAAAGGGATGATGTGAACTTCTGGTGATTTTGCCGTTGCATTACCGGCTCTACGGTTAAGAGACTATGTGGCAGTGCTGGAAACTGGACAGAGGCAGGTCAGCCCCCACCGAGTGCCACGCTGTCATGGCAGGGCAGTTACTGGAGTTCGCCTTGGTGCTAATTCAGGTCTTAGTCTGGCCTAAGTAGGTATTCCTGCAGTTTTTAAAGCAGAAAAGCTGCCTGCAGTTTGCTTACAGCCACATGCCTAAAGGGCTCTATTGTATTCCTAACAACTGAGACCGACTGGAAAACATGTAGCAGCTAGGAAATAAATGCAAAACTATGGAACTGATATCTTTCTACATGAGAGATCAGTATCTCTTTAGCTGCACTGCCCCAGGCTGTTCCCTGTTGCAGTCTCCTAATGGCAGTGAAGGGGCAAGGCCACAGAAACAATGAAGAATAAGCCAGTGCACGAAATAAAGGCAGAATTGTTCTCCCACTGATGTAACTTCAGCAATTGTTAATTTCTCAGTGGCCTCGGGCCCCTGAGTACAGTACATTTTGGTTATTCTTTCCCTGGTCTCTTATTAATCCTGACATAGTACATGAGCCTTGAGAGATGAATGGGAGGTTTTGAATCCCATCTCCTTGGACGGACAATAGCTTTTCTGTTTTACACGCTTCCCGCTTATATAGGCATTGCCACTGCACTGCCAGCACAGGATCAAAAATCTTGCAAGCAAACATCTCCGTGGGACTCTGTCCCTACCCTCACAGGTGAATTCCTGACCTTACCAAGGTCAATGGTAAACTCCTGTTGATCCTCCTCAAAGCCAGGATTTTATCCTGTGTTTTTGTAGCTAGTCAGCATCAGCCAAATTCCAGCAAATATAGCTGAATCAGCGTGGTAAGTAGCGACAGTTTCAGAACGCTGTTTCACAGCTGTTCACTGAATGTTTCCGTGTTGCCTACCTGTATATTGGGAGGGTGGGAGAATCTTGCAAAGATACGCTGGGATTTTTGGAGTGTTTGAAGGTCATGTACGCTTACAGAGTGGAAAAAATCCTAACTGGTTCCATCCCTCTCTTGGAACCGCCATTTCTGCAACTGTAAAACTGGCAGCTCCTCTGCTCCCATGCATTTGAGCTAATACAGGCTGATTGTTTTGCTTTAATGTTCAGCACAGGGAGAATTTCAGACTTTGCTGTGTCCTAAAGCATCTGTCCAGCCCTAACCCGATGTCTGCAAAGACATCTGCTAGTTGATGCCTGTTCTTTGAGATCCATCTCAAAGCTCGGAGTTAAGAAGCTTATTACTCCCACTGCTCACCTAAGCTACCAACTTGGCTCTGGTGTTTGTTCTGTTAACTCCATTATCTCAACTCTGTGACTCGACACAATGACTGAGAGGTTGCAGAGAGGAAATAAGTGCTTTTTGTTGCAATGAGGAGGAGTAGCACTTACATGGCCAATTGCCAATTTACACAAGCAATTATATCCTGCCGGCAATCCCTGGAGGGTAAATGGCATGCACCGGGGGTTCTGAAACTTTTCTGGAAAGGGTCTGTACTTTAACAGGCAGCCTCTTTGGGGCATGCACCCTTTATATTTACGGTATCGTGTTCTATTCAGCAGAAAAAGTAACAATCTGCATATTAGAAGTAATAACTGTAGACTTCTGTATTTACCTCCAGTGCTGTAATCTTTCTCTTCCTTTTCATGCTTTAATTCCTTTCCTCCTTTGCTTCCAAATGCTTGATACTTGCTCCTCCGCTTCTCACATCCAAAGGTTATCTGAGACTTCGATGCTTCTGCCCTGCACCTTCCAAAAGAAAACAGAATCTATGTAATTGTCCTCGCTCTTTTCTCTTGACAGTCAATATTACGGTGGAACCTGTGGGCCAGTTCTGGCTCTACTCAAGTTGGAAAGGGAAGGGCAGAGGTTAAAGGTTTCTGTGAGTGCCTGCTGATGCCCCCCTTCAGGGGAGGCACCCAGTAACCTGCGCTCACCCCTCAGCGTGTTATGGAGGGTTAAGAATGGACAACAGAATTGCGTTATGAATTCCCAGCTTCAGGAAAAGACCCAAAAGCAACTTGCACTCCATTGTACTCTAATAAATCTAACGGCAGAGCACATAAGAAGCCAGGCTCTGTTGCTTATGACACAATTTAATTCTCTTGCATTCCTCCTGCATGCAATTTTGTTGCTAGGCAGTGGGCTTGATATTAGTCTGATTTAATGTCCTTTGAAGGCCTTACCATTAACACTGCTCTCTGTCTTGCTGCAGAACGTGCGTCGCCTCCTGCAGAACCCCAAGGTGACAGAGTTTGACGCTGCCCGGCTGGTGATGCTTTATGCCCTGCACTACGAGCGGCACAGCAGCAATAGCCTGCCAGGGCTGATGACAGATCTCAAGAACAGGGGTGTGTCAGAGAAATACCGAAAGGTAACTGCAGCATGGATGAACGAGTGGGACAGGAGGGCACGGAAGTGGAAAATCAGTGTTAATTGGTGTAGAGCTTGCCCGCTTTAGTTTAGCACAATGCTTTTTTGTTGAATCGTGCCGCACCTTGCGAAAAGAACCCTGAGCTTGGCTGGGGCCTGCAGGTGTTACTTTAAAAGGCATTACTAATCACTTAATTTCCATTTCCAAAATCAGTGATATTATGAAGGATTGAATAAAGCAGAGACGGCAGGCACGCCAGGAGTCTGCTAGGACGGGTGTGTGGCATGTAAACGGGGCCTGGAACATGCTTCCTTTCGCCTTCCCCTCCTCCTCCCCACCCCTCTTCCCCCAGCTCCTGCTGAATAGGCAATAGTTGCAGCAAAGGACTTATGGGGACTGTAAAAGGAGCTTGGCTGGGAGGGAGAGGGTGGCAGTGCTTGGCAAATGTAGTGAGCAGCTGGAGAGGAGGTGGAGAAGCGGGATGATGTCACATTGCATGGAAGATCTGCTATCACTGCAGCAGACTATGGAAATGAAAGCCTCTCTCCTTATGCAGGCAGTGTCACGGCAGACTGACTTGCTTGGTGGATAGGGGGAATACTTCTTCTCTTCCCCCTTGCTTCTCTCTATGCTGTGTTATCTGCTTGGGATCGATCTCCCTGACTCCTTGGTCATCACTCCGGTGCCTCCACTGAGCCTAACTAGACAAAAACTGCCTGGAAGCTGGTTTCCCAGCTTAACAGGATTCTGGTTTTGCCTCTCTCTGTACAGCTCGTGTCTGCCGTTGTGGAATATGGAGGGAAACGGGTGCGGGGCAGTGACCTGTTCAGTCCCAAGGATGCTGTAGCCATCACCAAACAGTTCCTCAAAGGACTGAAGGTATGGATCTGCCACAGATGAAATAATGTCAGTTTTAGTCAAAATTACAGTCACGGAGCAGGACTCGCATGCAGTTCAATGCCACGTGTCATGGATTTCAGAGATTTAATATTAAGTGCACTGGGCTTTTAGGGCATAATTCTCACTGAAGACAATGGGAGTTAGTTGCTGCAAAGCCTCTTCAAATCTGGACTTCAGTAGTTAACACTTGATGTATCCATCAGATGATGATGCTCCTTTTATGTGCCTTTGCTGATCTTCCCTCTTAGCTTGCTGCCTTGCTGTATTAATTCATAACAAGAGCTTCTCTTGCACTGTAGGGGGTTGAGAATGTGTACACGCAACACCAGCCTCTCCTTCAAGAAACACTAGATCAGCTCATCAAAGGAAAACTCAAGGACAGCCAGTACCCCTACCTGGGTCCCAACACTCTCCGTGACAGGTATGTGGGGCCTTTTAGGGCAGAGCTTGGAACTGAAATATATCTGCTCCTCCCAGTGCTGCCACTTGCTTTGTTGTTTGCCTGTAGATGAACAAAACGGGCTTGGCAGAGAAATGTCTTGATTCTTTCTTGTATTCTCAAGTAGGTGCCCTGGAGAGGGCTATTAAGACTGAAGTACGGTTGTCTTTTCTTGCTGGCCAAGATGTGACGTTCCCATTGTAAGGGCTCAGGTAAAGGATAGAGCCATTTCACCAAGCTGCCAGGATGTTCACGTGATGGATTTCAGCATGCCCCCTAACTTCAATCCATGCCATCTGGTGTTTATTTGTAGAGTATCAAAAATAGTCCAACTGCAAGCTCTCCCTTCTGAGCCAGTTACTATTCCTGATGAGAATGGGATCTTGCTGAATATGGCTAATAACTGTAATTGAAAAGAACTCTGGCTGTCTGGTTCTCGCTGACTTTGCTGGAGCTAAGCTAATCTGTTGTCAAAGAAGTCATTAAAGGTAAATACGGGCCTCAGCATGAGGGCACTGAATCATCAGAGAGAAGACGACAAGTTCTCCTCTACCGGTGTTCTGTACAAATCACTCCTTTCTTTGGTACCGCAGTTTCCTTTCTGTAAATTAAGTTTAGCTTCTGCAGCGTGCTGGTCGGGTATTTCTTATTCCTTCTAGTGGTAGTCTCCTTTGAGGAGAAGAGCCTGCTGTTGCTTTGCTTCCTTTGGGTGATCCGTGATGAGGTCATCGCAGCGATTCTCTGAATCTTCTCCAATGTCTGTTAAATGTCCCAGGGTTCTGCGGAAGATGTTTTACTTGCAGCGTTAGAACGATCGTCATCCCCTCCACACGCTGCATATTATTGGCTTTTTATCAGCAACTCCCACATTTTTAGTGAAGCAGAAAATCAATTCAAGGTAGTAATTCTCAACAAATGAGGCGGCTGTTGCAGGGCGGTTTGGGTTAAATGAAAACCACAGACTCATTTGGAGCAGGAGAGAAGTAGACTTGGGGACCAAGGTTCAGCAGTGTCAAGCGGGTGGGAGGGGCAGAAGCATGTCAAAGAGCGAGCATTCATGTCTGGCGCTCTTTGAGATGCACACACAGTGCTCTTCCTCCTTAGCCCTGCCTTGAGGCATTTCGATCCATCTGATGAAAGCAAAAATGTATTTTGTAGCAGGGAGGCATCCAAATTCCATGCCAGGCTGACAGCAGGGGAACGTTAATAATTTTATTTATGAATAAGAAAGAATTATAGTCATACAAGAAACAATTTGTTTGTGTATGTCCCTGGTAGACCAAAAAAATATCTGCCTTACTCCAGATTTTCCCTTTAAAATAAAACGGTGAATTTTGGATAGGGTGGATGGGTGGTTTTAATAGGTGTGAAATATCAAGGCCCCTAGCAACAGAAGTGCTATCCTCTCTGTCCTTGAAACCAGCTCTTGACTGAGATGGATTTCAGCCCAACAAAAAGAGGTTGAGGGATGCGGTTTGTGGTAGATCTGAAATGAGACCTGCAGAACAGCAGTAACTGCATCCAGGCATCCCCGACCTGGGTTTGTTCTGAGCTAACTAGAAACAAATGGTCTTCTGACCTTTATCTTCTCTTTTTCAGCTCCCACTTACATTTTCCTGAGCTGTGTTTCGCTTAGATTCCTCTTTAAATGTTTCCTGAAAAGGGTACAGCAACCTGCCCCTGAGAATCCTGCTACAAAGAACATGCAAAGAATTTATTTGGGGGAGCATGAGAAGGGTTTAATTCCTACCTCGAACTGGAGGAAAACAGAAGCTGGATGAAGGGAAATGGAGTCTGCACCTCCCTCCTTTCTCCGCAGCAGCTGCAGCCTTGTCTCTTAGCTAAAAGACGTGAATCCTGTAGTTTTGTTAAAGTAAGCAAAGCAGAGCTTCCAGACTGTTCTTTCCCTTAAATTTCTCACGGTCTTCCTTTGGTCTGGGATTGTCCTTGGGACAGAGGCCGGTCCAACAGTGCTGCTGCTGGGTCAGGTGTCTGCAAAATGATCAAAAGCGTAAGGGCACGTGGTTGTTAGGGTTGTTTCCTGATGGGAGTGGTAGATCTTGTTGAGCTTAAGACATAGGAGCTATAGGAATGAGGGTTTGTAACTGACAAAAAATAGGCACCTAAATACTTCTGCGTCTGGTCTTTACTTGCTGCATAAAATGGGGGCCACAGCACTGTGTTCTCTCTAAAGTATGAATATTCGATATCATGAAAACGGGGGCTCATCTAAAAACAGGTTTTAGTTATCAGGTTTGGAAGAAAAAGGCCCATTTGATGGTTTTGCCTTAGTGCCAAAGCAATTGAGCAAGGAATTTAAATTTAATAATTTCACAAAACTTGGTACAATAAATCACAGCCCAAGGCAAACTGGGCTACACTGTCTTCTTGCTTTCTGCTTTGAGGGGATGGTGTTACAGTGATTGGCAGGAGTTCAGCAGAAGGTCAGGGCAAAAGGCTTTGTATTTTTTGATCAAAGGGATGCAGTTGCTTGAACAGCAAAGAATTTGAAAGGATTCTTTTTAACTATTTCTTTCTGTATTAAACATTACACTGTTGCAAGGGAGAAAAAGCTCCTGGTCCAAATTCAGCTGTGGAAATTGGCAGCAGTGAAGGAAAGGGAACCTTTGCAAAGCACTGAGCAGGGTTCCTAGGAGAGAGCAATAAGCAATTCTGCTTTCTTTTGCTTCTCCTCTATTTCCTGCCGTGTTAAATATCATCCTTTTCTCGTGTGCCATCAGCCTGCAGTCCCTTCCACCTTGCTGCTGGAAAGTACTAGCTAGAAAAGTTCCTAAAGCCTCTCTCCGTCACAGCAGCCTGCGGGAGCCCCAGCTGTGTTACACGCCGTACGAAATGCCTCCCAAGGTCTGTGACCCCACCGGCGTGCTCTGCTCGCCGGGCTCTGCCAAAGCCTGCCCTTCGGGTGGAGCTTTTGCTTTGTTTATGCTTTGACCTGGGATCTCCTCTAATAGGGCATTTGTCCCGACCAGAGCAGCTGGGCCTGAGGGTGCTTACCCAAGATGGCTAGAGTCCGCTTCTTACAAAATCGAGTTTGTAATCGGACCACCAGACAGCTCTGTCACTGCTACGCTTCTTAAAACCAAACATGGGTCCTCAACGTTTTGCATGAACCAGGCAACAGCCTAGGAAATAGCAGTAGGAAAAGGCATGCTGCTCCCTGGGGATCCAGACGGGACTCGGCTCATTCCGCGTCTTTCTCAAATTACCACAATTACTTAACCTGCTTATTGAAAAATCTTGGAAAGTTACCTTGTCTGAAAGCCCATCAAAGTTCAGACTTAAACGTGGAACGTGAGAACTCACTGATACCATCTAGTTTAGAGCATTCTAGGACTGGACATGATCTTTCTCCCACTGATTTTGTTGAAGGGAAAGTTCTTGTTGACTGCTCGAGGAGAGGAAGAATTTGGAACCGTTTAGAAATGTCTACAGCTGACACACATCTGAAGGGATGGCTGAGGTATCTCCTTAGGCAGCGAATATAAAATCTCCTTTTTTGGAAACATCAGCTTGCAGCACGTGATGTGGAACCATTTGGCTGTATGCTTTTTCATCTGAGCTCACACATACTGCCCTAAAGATTAGGGAAAGTAGCGCTATTCCTAAATCATATATATTCTCTTGTGTTTAGTATGGTTTGCGTTTCGTGGATTTTTTTAAGGCAAAACTCTGACCGTGTCCTTGTTTTTTCAAGGAAGTTGCTTTTTCCTCCTGTCTGAAGTGTTTGAGCATTTAGCTGTTAAATTGGTAGTTAACCCGAGGAGATACATAGCCACATCCACAAATGGGGCCTGAGGAGCACAACAGCTGGAGCGAGTGTTGCTGTCGACTGCTTTCCCCCTAATCCTATAACAGTCTTGTGGTTTCTGCCTATTCCGAAATTGCTTACTATTTGCCCTTGATCTAAGCAGTATTCCCTGGGCGCTTCATGAGAACACCAAGATCCCTTTGTTCTTCCTGTGGCAGTCTGCCTCTGCGTGACTTAGCTCGCTTCTGGTCTGTGAGAAATCTGCAGGGTAAATGCCGGATGCTTTGAGCAAGGCACCTGAACTGGGAGAGAGGCTGTAGTTCTGCCCCCACTCCCCCATGCCGGGCTTAATCCTGTAAGAAAGGCAGTAGCAATATAAAAGCAAAAATAAGCATGGTCTGTGCCATGCTCCTGACACCTAGCAATCACAACTGCACGGGAAATAGAGGCAGACCAGGATATAGTGTCCAAGCAGGAAGTTTTCTTACCTGCGCCCCAGCATCTCAGAGGCATTATCAGTTTAGTTTGCAGCCCAGTGCAGATACCAGCTCTCCCATGCTGGGTCTGTTTGGATTATCCTCCTTTCTGGATTTCGCTGTTTGACATCTTTTTAGTGTAGGTTTCTCTGGGTATCAGTCGATCTATTCCTCTCTTCGTACAAAGATTCTCCACCACAACAAAACCTGCTAATACGCAGTGACAAAGCCGTGCACAGGGTGTAACCCAGACTTACTGATTGAGGATGGCAGAGAAATTTTATTGCGGTCTGTGATGGCATCACTGGGCCGTTTAGTCTCCCGAGTTGGATAGTGCCAGCTGCTTCGTAAAAAGTACAGAAATGACTTAAAGGGCAAAGGAACCATTTTCTTATTCTTGTTTTGTACAGCACCTAGCACAGGGGAATTCTGTGCCGTGAGAGGGTCTTCTAAACACAGCAGCAAGGAAAACACAATATGTATCAGAAAATTCTAAACTTCCATTCACAGGGTTTGTATCCCTCCTTAGTTCCGACCCATTTGCCTTACCAATTTGATGACATATGTAATCCTCATCAGTGTTGCATAAAACGTGGCCGTACCTGACAGGCTGCGTGTGAGACTGCTTTCACTTAACAGCTAGTAGAGGAGTGGGAGGGAAGAGTACAGGCGGGAAGGGTTTCATGACTTGCTGCTAACTTCTCCTGTGTGTACTTAGTTCCTCCTTAACCTGACGTGATTCAAAACGCACTTTATCTTTTTCAAACCTGTTTTAAGACAGCTGTAAATGCCTTCACAAGGTATTTTTCTGTTCTTGAGCCCGGGGTTGAGAAACTAGCAAACTCCTCTGCATCTGGGCTTTGCATAAGCAAGAAACACACGGTTTCCCTTCCAGTGGATGTAATCTTCAATTACGCCTTGAGTTGATGAAGTGACCAGGCTGACAACGCCCAGTCTCACCCTCATTTGTGGGGATCCAGCATCTTGTTACACTAATTAATGTAACTCTAACTCACTCCTAGGAGAAAGCTGCGACCAAGCATTGCATAGCCCTGACTTCAGGGACTGTTAAGTGCATCAGTGATGTGAGTTTGCAGGGCTGGTGTCACGGTGACAGTGAAAGCTGATGGCAAATTTAAAGGCTGGTAAATGTTAAGGTATTCCAGAGGAGTATATGGGAGCTAGCCACATGACTTCGGCATCTAAATTCCTTAGGTCTCTGATAGTTCCAACCAAAAATGCATAAATGATGGTACCAGGAGACTGATCCTGTGGATTTCAGTCTGCACAAGACTGCTTGGTAAGAAATTACCTGGTTGGTTTCTTTGTTGCTCCAGTGATCCAGTTAGTAACGGTACTTTAACCCTAAAGGTCCTAACTGAGTTACTGGGCTTTGGGGAGGTGCAGCTTTCTCAACCTAAGAAGCGAAGTGTGGCATGGCCTACTTGGCACATGCATCACGATAAAAGTGGGTCTGTAGAGACCTTAGGTATACTTTTTCTGACAACTGACAGTGGCTTATCAGATTACTTCATTGCTGTGCGTTCCCTTTCCTTTGATTTCCACCCCCTAAAGACTCGGGCACGTTTGCACCTAGTTTCCAAAGCCGTATGCCTAAAAAGACAAGGTGCAGCACTCTTCTGTCCTCTGGGGCTGGCTCAGTGACTTGTGTTGTCACTAGGGTGCAAAAACCTCTGTCTGCCTCAGTGAGATGTTTGAACCTGCACAGCCTGAATGTGCGGTTGCTATATATAACCTGCTTATCTTAAGGCTGCAGTGCAGAAGATTTCACAGGCTGTTCCCGTGCAGGGGACACTGTGTAGCTCTGCAGGGAGAGATGAGCACACCAACTCCTGGGGCTCTGGGAGGGAAGTGAAGACAGCACAGACTGCGTTGCTGAAATCCCGAGGGCAGCACTGCCTACACCTCTGCTCCCGGCTGGAAGGGGTGAATCACATGCAGGGTAAAACTTGTCGCTCTGTCCAGAGAGCGCAGGCGTAAGGCATCTAATATAGCATGTTCCACTATTGCGGACTTCTCTACAAAGGGTTCCACTTTGAGCCTTGTTCTTTCCAAGGAAGCTGTGCAGCAAACTGCAGCTGGAAGTCTTGGCCATTATTAGAATTATTATAGTTCCCATGGATAACAAGTTGTATAGTACCTGCGGAGGAACTGTATTGAATGCAACGACTTTGTTGTTGAATTAGCAATGCTGTGTGTCACCAGAGGGTGTGCCTGAAATGATGGGGTTCCCACGTTCCAGGCATCGAGGCTGCGGTATTCCCTCTCCACCCCACAAAGGGAGACTACCGCCACCTTCTAAAGCATCTCTGAAATCTCCTTTTGTCTGTCCAAATCATCTTATGCAGACCTGACCCAAACTTTCTGAAAATACTTACGATTTGGAAGGTTATCGGTAACAAAGATCACTTTGGGAAGGGGTGTGGGCTCATCTTTTCCCTGAATTTTTCTTACCTTTCTGCACCCTCTCCAGGGGCAGGGAGGCAGTTGCGCGGATCTGGTGGCTAACACGCTTGTTCTGAGCCAGTGTCCCATTCTGACGGCAGAAGCAGTTTTGCTCTTGGTAGTACTGCCTGTTCAGTGATGCCAAGGAAGAAGTCCTCGATGTTCGTCCTTCCGATGCGCGTGTTGCTCCCCTGGACAGTAACAGGTGTCGAGGGCTTTGCAGGTTGGCTTCTCAGCAGGGAGGAGCCGGAGGCACAGAGACTAGGTGCACTCCGGGGTCATCCCTGTCTCATGCTCCATTTGCTTTGTCACTGATCCAGAGCTTGCACAGGCAGAGCAGATGGATGCCTGCTGCTTCCACCACTGCAGCAAGCAGCTGTATTGTAGCCGAAATACCTGCTTGGAAAGCAGAGATGAGTTTTGAGACCGCAACAGAAAGTTAGTTGTGTCGAGACTTGACTGCTCTGACTCAAGCAGATGACTGACAGGATGTGATCCACACCTTTTCGCTGTAGATTCTGCAGAAACTGTTCTCTCAGCTTGTAGATGGTGGCAGAGCTGATTTACGGGTTGCAAGCACATTCTGCTGTCCCTGAGAGTGGAAAACCTAAGTGGCTGGGGAGGGTGGTGCAAGGAAGGTGCAGCCTTCCTTTGAAAGCAGAATGTGCGGGGCATATGGCTGGTTTTGTATTTTGTCGGATGAAGGCACTTCCCTCCTTCCCCCCCTCTCCCCTCACGCTACTTCTCTGTAACATCCTGTATTTCTAGGCTGGCTAGGGAATGTAACCTCAGAGGTAAAAATTCTGCGTAAATCCCAGTAGTTCTGTAAAGAGCCAGCAAAACTGCAGCTGATCCGTGCCCTTCAAACCAAGCCCAAGAGGTCTGAAGCACCACTGTTGTCCTCGTTTGACTCCTGAATTGATCTTAATTTAACAGCCGCAGCAGTGTCTCGATCATGCATTAAACATTGGCGTACGTGTCATGGTGGAGCTCCACAGGGATGCAGCGTGTGGGTGTTGCTGAGGAGGCTTTTAAGGACCATTAGCACATTGTGTAAATGTTTAGGAGAGACAATGTTTTAAAAGCGATTTAATGGGCTACACATTGTTGTCAGTCATGAGCCCAGCTTATGACAGAAATGAGACATGGTCTGGGGAGAGAAATGAACATCATCGTTGCCTCAGCGCCCATGAGAGGTACAGGATTTATCCTTGTGTTTTGTCTGATCCCGTCTCAACATTTGCGTCTTTATTGCAGGCCCCAAGATATTATCGTGTTCATCATTGGAGGGGCAACTTACGAAGAGGCGCTGACTGTCTATAACCTTAACCGCACCAACCCGGGGGTCCGGATCGTCCTAGGTGGGACCACAATCCACAACACAAAAAGGTAATAACCATGTATTTACTGTGGATTCTGTGTGTGTAAAACTGCTGACATGAGCGTGAATTTGTGACGCCTCAGGGATCTTCATCACACAGTAAAACACAGAAAACGGTCCGAGCCCAGCTCTGCTTATTATGGCTGAGGGACTTATTACCACGCTGAAGGTTTAATGTGCATTTTACTGAATTCAAGGGCAGGGAAGTAGATGTGTATAGTTTTTCCTGCTTGTAATTCACCACACACTCTAATATGAATGGGAAGCCAGTGCGGCACACAGGAATTCAAAAGCGACTGTGGTCTCATTGCTCCTGTTGAAATCTGGAGCAACTGCATTTGATAGCAGTGAAGTTAATGTACCTGTGATTAGAACTGAGTTCTATGATTACACTGCTAACACGCTCCCTGCCGCCCACAAGCCTGCAGAGTATTGGCTGCGTCTTTTGCATTTCTCCCTGGAGAACGGAGCTTTCCTTATTGGTTTGCTGTACGCTCCGAGTTGCCTTTCCTGGGAGGCCAGACATTTGTAAAGGCTTAATCCCTCCAGGAACTGAGCAACGCCGAGGAGCACTGACCACGCTGAGCTTCATTGATTTCCTAGGTCACTGTCTCTGGGACGTTCCAGCAGCTGACTGTCGGAGCTGGAAGGGCTCGTGTCGGGCAATGCTGATGGTATTTCACGTCCCCTGCACTGAGCTGAGCGAGCCATTCCTAAGGGTCTCAGTTGGGATTTACAGAGTCAGACAGCTCGTACAGAAACCTGCAACTGCTCTTCTGTAGCTGGCCAAAAATTCCTGTTGCTATGGAATGCCTGGCTTATTTCCTATGAACTGTCTGGTTTATAAATACAAATAATGGTTCCTGAACCCAAATTATTCATCTGAGTACTTGAGCACAGGTGAAAATTCAGACCATATTGGGGATTGTTTCCTATCAGCATGACTTGTTGCCAGCCAAGCAAAGGAGCATGAATTCTTTCAATAGGTGCCTTGCTCCTTCCCACCACTCCGTTCCGTCCCCGTTCATAATGACGCTGCCGTGGCCGGGAGCCGATCAGTTATCGGAAGGAGGGTAACGGCAGGAATGTGACAGGTGACCCACATCTCTCCCATGTGTTGCAGCAGGAAGCGTGGTGAAATCTAAGTCCTGGGAGAGTCCCTGGCGTTGTCCAGCAGCTGCTCTGAGATTAAAGAGAGCACCCTGCTCTCAGCTGGGGTGGAAGGAGAGCTTCAACATTACCACGTAGAAACACAAACAAAATGCAGTCCTGCAACAGGAAGGAAAAGTTATGCTTCTCAACATTTGGGATGAAATTTTCAGAGCTGACTAACAGCTCTGGGTGCCTCAGCAGTCTCCTGGAGGTCAGGAAACACATGCTATTAACACCGCAGGCGTTGTATGTCAGAAATACAGCTGTCAAGCACTTCATTGATCTCAGTTACTGACAGGTGGACTCAAGTGTAGCGAGCAGGCTAAAAAATGGCTTGGTTTTCAGGCCATATACGTGCGCTGCTGCTGCATCAGAGTCCAGTGTGATATTTATAAAATCCCTGCACTTTTGCCCTTCCTTTTCATGCCTGTAAGGGATCTTCAGGCTCCAAAGCTGCCTGCACAGAAGCAGTAACAATTCTCTCGCAAGGAAATCCAGTGGCTCCTATCATCACTTGCTCAGAAAAAGTGCCCAAACCCTCCAAATTCACGGTGCCTGCTCTGAAATTTGGCCTTTACTTTAGCTTAATGTCAGATGATTGGAAAGCTCCTGAGCTGATGCTAGCCCAGAAGCAAATTGCTTTTATGAACTGGGTTACAAAGGCAAGTCTGTATTAGCCCACATATCGACCAATTCCTGCCCAAATTACCCGGCTTCCTCAACCTTCTGCTTTACAAAGTAGCCTTTGAACTAAATCCTGTTTTAGCCAAGCCTAGAAATAGTAAGAAAAAGAGATCAGCGGACATACTAGCCGCTCTTTGACTGATAAAAAGAAGTAAAGTAAATTGTCATCTTGCAAGGATGCAGAAAAACCTGGTTCGTATTCAGCCTGGCATGCACCGTAACCTCTTAGTCTACCAGTGCATTTTGAGGCTGATTTTGACATCTACCAACATGCCTGCATTAAACTTTTACCAGCATCTGTGCTGAGAACCTGGGTGGTACTGTCATCACGCCACGCTAAACACGAAAAACCAGAGTAAGCGATATGGAGACCTCTGGGATGGTAGAGTTTTTCACGCCATATTGGAGGTTAAGACCTGCCCCGAAAGTGTATCAGTGTAGCAGATTCAGCAAAAACTGTCACTGTGGGGGGGAACAGAGGAAACTCACCAGCGGTGTTTTGAGTAGGAGAAGGAAAGCAGCAGTGTGGCGAGCAGGATGGGTGTGAGAAGATGGTCTGAGCTTTAGGTTGCCGTCCCAGCTCTGCTGTTGACCTGTTAGGTGACGTTGGGCAACTTTCTCCTTTGTCTGTTTGCACCAGAAGGTCTCTGAGCGGGGACCATCTCTCGCTTCTGCTTTATGAAGTTCAAGATTTGCAGCTACATCGTTGGGCTCCACTTCTTAGATTTGTGCTGTAATGAGTAACATTAGCTAGTTAGGGCTTCTACCGCGACTACGTTTTGGCGCAGTCTCTGAATTATTTACAGAAAAACTAGGATACTGTATCAAAATTTGCATTTCAAAGAATGAAGTAAAAAAAAAAAAGAGAAAGAAAAAAAAAAGGCTGTTGCTTTTTAAGGGCTGACTACTACAAGGTCCCGTCTGGGAACTCCGGGATGAGGACTGTCGAGGGTCCCATTCTAAAAATAGCCCTACCTCAAATATATTTGCTTTTCCCTAGTGGCTTGAATAAGATTTCCTAAATGATGAAAGGACACATTAATAATAATAAAAAATTAGAACTTTGGAGTCAGTAATCTCGAGCCCTTTTCAAGGGAAGACTGGCCTGCTTTAGCTCCTGCATATGCAGGAGGAGCAGCCTGTGCAGTGAAGCGAGTTGTCTCGCTCACGTCACTGAGAAATGAAGAAGTTTCCTGTCCACTGAGTGATAACCGCAATTTTAGCAAAGTGCACGAGGATCACAGATATTTCAGCAAAGACACCGAGGTGTCTGTTGTGAGGAAACCTAGATTTTATTGTGTCCTAGCTGCGCCAGTAAGCCAGTGGCCTTCCTTTAATGAACTGTTGCTTATTTCTGCTGGATTAGGGTTGATATGTCACAATAAACAAGGAGATTTTTATATTAATGCGCTAAGCAGCACATGTAAGCACACTAATCCTGTGCTTTCATTGTTCTTACCAGTCCAACTTAAACTGTGATCAACATCTGTGTTTATAGGGTGGGGGATGGCTTAAGGGATATCCATTCTGCTTTTTTACAAAGCAGGAGGCAAACAAGCCTTTGGAGCTGGTTATGTTGTCAGAGCTGTGTATTTGCGGGAAGCTTATCTGTTTAAGAGACCATCTGCATTGTCCAGTGAATATACTGTAAGTAGATGCTTTAAAGTGTGGAGGTGAAAAACACTCGTCGTGGGGATGAAAAATACAACATTCTGTGTTTGCAAAGAGGGTCTCAAAGTGGGCATTGTAGGTACCTGTTTAAAGTTCCCTTATGCTACACAGTCATGTCAAGGAGAATCTGTCCCTGTTGATCTTCATGGATTTGTATCCATATAGATGCAAAATAGGGGCAGGCATCTAATAACAATGCTCATATCCTGAAATGACGCATGGAGTCTAAGGGATTCCTTATAAATAAATCAGGCTACAGAAGCTAACAGGCTGTACTCTTGGAGTCTGTTCCCCTGTTTGAAAAAATCCCAGTGATTTTACAAGGTACGAGAAAAATTTTGTTTCTTGTCTTCCCTCCTCCACCTCTAACAGATAAATCCATGTAGTGCACCTACTCCTCGGCCTCTTTCCTGACATTAGCCATGGGCAGGTCAGTCAGTGATAGGGTTGGGAATGTGGCTTGGGTCTTCTGTTCCTGGCTGCAAGCAAGAGTTGTGAGAAAAAAATGCATTAAAGCAGCGGGGGTGCTGAAAAGTCAAGTGATGAAAGCCAGAGAAATGCAGAAATCCAAAGATCGGAAAATCTCTCTGATTGCGCACGCTCAGTTTTGCTGCAGATGAGGCCTTAAATCTATCCCATCTCAGTTTACTTAATTCTTCCTTTTTTCCCCCCGTTCCCGTTAACAGGCAACCCTCGCGCTGTTAAGTCTAGGAGGGTATACAGATAGGCACTTGGTAAGGCTTTGTGATCCTTTGAGAAATGCCAGCAGGGTGGAAAAAAATCTGTTGTTGTCAAGGAATTTTCAGTGGTTTTCTAATCAAACCAGATTGGCTGCCTCTGTTACTTTTGAAATTTTGGCAGCCTTACTAAAAATACTTCTATTATGACTTGATTGTCGAAAAGGTAAAAAAGCCTTCCCGGACGTGTTTTCCTGCATGACGAGCCTAGGCAACAGCTCACTGCAGAGCTGCGCCCGGCGTGTGAGAATTGAAATGCCACATCTGCCCACTTAATGCAGTTCTTCTACAGCAGACTCACGCTGGGGACTCCTCGGTCTGCAGCTACGCCATCACATCTGGCCATGGGTCGAACCACTTGATAAAGGAAGACCTGAGTGTAGAGCTCCTACCTGGTTTTTTCCTGCAATGTAACGAGCTGTAATGGAAGGGCTGGAAGGCTGGAGATTATTAATCACAGGTTCTTAGCAGAAATAGTGTGGCCAGCAGGAGTAGGGAAGTGATCGTGCCCCTGTACTCGGCCCTGGTGAGGCCGCACCTCGAATACTGTGTTCAGTTTTGGGCCCCTCACTACAAGAAGGACGTCGAGGTGCTGGAGCGTGTCCAGAGAAGGGCAAC